GGGTACCCCTTCAGATTTTGCGAAATTTTCGTTTTTTGCCAATAACTCCCAAACCGTTGGATTTACGGAAAAATCGCATAGGACCTTTCTTGTAGAGGCCGACGAGATCTACAATTTCCATGTAAAAATTTTTCGCTAGCGTCAATAGTTAACGAGTAATTTGCGAAAAACTGTTTGTTCGTTTTTCGTTAATAACTCGTGAACCATTGACTTTAGCGACAAATTTTTACATGGAAATTGTAGATCTCATCGTCCTCTACAAAATGGTCCTATAAATGTCCCCCTAAGTCCATCCGTTTGGAAGTTATTGGCAAAAAACGAAAATTTCGCAAAATTTAAAGGGATACTCCTTGGAAAAATCTCGGAAAACACAAAATTTTTTTTTTGTCAAAATATCGAAAATTGCTTCAAATAAAAGTTGTAGGTACTGTTATTACTCACAAGCAAGGTCGTATACAATCTTCTTCTTTCCCAAATACTTCAGGACTAATCGATTAATTATTGTGTTTATCGTTAATTCCTCCTTAACGAGTGGAGTTAGAAGAAAATTGCATGGGATCTTTCTTGTATCTTTTAACTCAACATCGTCGAGTGTTTTTCTTTCTATTCCTAATTTCGGTGGCAATATATTCCAAAGGGCGTCAAAAGTAACATACTTTTTCATGCGACCCATAAGGCTACCACCATTTAGTAATCTCTCCTCGGTAACAATTATTGGAAAGATCGCAGTCGGTACGAATATTGGGACGCTCACAGGCGTCCTAATACCCGCGAAGGGTGCGGGCGCGAGGGATAAGAAGCCCGTGAAACACGAGCGCGGGGTTTAATTGCGTAATGCCCGGATAGGGAAGTTTCTCGGCTGTGTTTCGCGCGCTGTCCAATTTCGTTTCGCCCACCGGCTCTAATGCGTTCGTACCGGGTAGGTGTATAGATACGCGAAGCTACGCAGGAGATCAAAGTGTTAACGAGACACACTCTGTTGGATCGATTCGCCTCTCGTGCACGACACGTGCGCCTTCCACGCCGGCCACGTGGCCGCAGCTAGCACCGTACTTACCCATACACGTGAGCCACGCTGCGGTCTGTGCGAAACGTATGCATATATACATACGTACACGTATACATGAAAAGTATGTATCCGCCCGATAACCGAACTTCGTTACGATGATCGCGCAATTATTGGACACGGATCGGAATTTACAAACACCCCGGCAGCGTCAGGACGTTTACGGTAAATTAGCTAGACTAAATGAAGTGAGGATTCATTAGTGAATCGGAGTACGAGAGTGGCGCGTAATTTCGCGGCTCGACGAGCGTTCGCCGTGTACAGGTGACGCCGATCTGAGATGTCATTGATCGCAATCGGGTATGTTCTAGTTCTTGTTATCGGGCGAAACCGCGTATGACCGGTCCGGTGGCTGCTGTGGCAGCAGCAGCGGCGGCCGCGACAGGGATCGGTGGTGTCCCCGTGGTGGGTGCCGGGGGTGGCCGGAGGGCCTACACCGAGGAAGAGCTGCAAGCGGCGCTGCGGGACATACAGAGTGGGAAACTCGGGACGAGGCGGGCGGCCGTGATCTACGGGATACCGCGGAGCACCCTAAGGAACAAGGTCTACAAGCTTGCGATGGAACGCGAAAGGGACGCGTCCCTGACTAGCACCCACTCACACCCTCACGAGCCCGGCGCCCAAGCCACCACCACGACCACCACCATCATCACCACCACCACCACTACTACTTCTACTACTACAACACCACCAAATACGACCCAAAACGCCTCCGCGACCACCACTCCGCCCCCGCAAGTGGATGAGGTAGGTTTTGGGGACAAAACAGAAAATGAGAGAAACGAAAGTAAACGCGCGATGTGTGAGAGGTGAGAGTAGGAGAAATGAAGGAAGAGAGAAAGAGGCGGAGAGGAGAACGAACGCGATGGCGTCGCGACGTCTGATATGTCCATCCACGGTTTTTAAATAGAATCGAGAATTGAGAATTGGCAATGAACGAAAATGTAACCTCGAACGAGGACGAGGGGAGTCGTTTCGGAACCACGCTTCTTCTAGCACCGGTGGCACGAGTTTCGTTACCGGTTTTCGACTATACTTTCGCCCCGTTTTAAAAGAAACAAACGTCTTCTCCCACAGGCCTTCGTTTACCGTATCGACTTTAATCGTTTGGTTCCATCTTCAGTTTTTACGCGTACGCGTGTACTTGAAACATCTTTAATTGTAGGCAGGCTGCGAACGTTTATGCACGATCAGCGTTTTATGAACAGGATCAAAAGATCAGCACCTAAATTCATAGCAATTTGTTTCATTTTGCGAACGTGTCTTCGCGTTCTTTGCTTTCTTTCACCGGCAAAATTACCCATCGACGCATAAACGTCCGCAACTTAATCCCAATTTATCGCTTTGGGCGCGACTTATCTTAAAAGAGAAAGACGACGCATCCAAGGGCGACGAGAAAGATTCGGATTCGACGAGGAGTTAAGAGCGAACGTCGGGCGATCAAAGAGACTCGGTTCTTGAGAATTATCGATTTTTCGCCCATTTAAGTGTGGTTTTGGTTAGGAAGAACGAATGGAGCTTCCCCAAAACATACCTCTGCCACGGTGATCATGGAACTCGCGTGGACCGACGACGGCGTACATTTCCTATCCGTCCGTCTTTCCAGCGAAACGGACGGTTTCGCGTCGGTTCACGGGATTCTGTATCGGTTGCCGTGATGCTCAGTAGTGTCGAATGTTGTTGCATGGGCTGTTTAACTCTTTTATCTCACTATTTGTAGTTTAACACACGGCCGCTTGGTCTTGGCGAGGTTGCAAGACTCGAGGTAAGTTCTCGGGAGCATACGATATAAATTGTTTCGGGCCGGAAGCTAGGCCAGATATTCTTTCTCGGCCCCGCAAATTCTCGTTGCCGCGAGTAGTTTTGCGCTTTATTCCGACCTCGACACTGTGCATCCTCGATGTGCATTTTGTGCAATGGGTACGATCCGTGCTTGAGCACTCGTCGGCTATCTCGGCGCGAGGCAGGACTTTTCGCATAAAATCGTATCGTTTTGGCAGGGCATGCTCTTGCAACTGGCGTGGCTTTTCCGTCGAAGACGATGATTCATTTCTCGAGAGCAGCGAGCGACGAATTTCTTTTCAACCGGTGTCGTCAGAAGAAGCGCGGGTAGTTTAGTCACGGTAGATGATTTATTTTTTTTGTTGGTTCGACTGCATGCGTCTACGGTACGTAGCTAATGTTGCGAGATTTAATAAGTGTCAGTGTGCGTAGCGCCGAGCTGATTACGAGCGAAACATTTTTCCAAGCTGGTTCTCAATTTTCGACCTATCGCCTTTCTCTTTCTTTTTCCCCGCAAGACTGAGAAACTTTTCACGTCCGCGACGCTCGGGCAAGTCATTTTCCATTCGTCCTTTTTCTTATCAGTTCAGTGTTCGTTGTTATCAAGCTTCTCGCGAGCGTTCATTTCTGGCAATTCCTGCATGACGCTTCAGACGAAGACTACTATGTACATGGACAACCGACACTTGTTACAACACAGACACACGCGCCATACGAACACGCCTCTCGACGAAATCTGTTGCCGATCAACGAACGGTCGTATTTTCCTCGAGAGGGGACATAGCTGTCGATGGTTCCAGGTCCGGATCGAGAAGCCTCGGTCTCTGAGACCTCGATCCGAGCCAGAACGATGTTTGAATCTTCGCCGTGTGCGGTGTGCGTGAAACGCTAGAGAGAGGAACTGTTCTTAACAGGTGGACGAGAAAGAACTGTCCGGCGCGGAAGAGGAGAAAGAAGTGGAGAAGGCGCTGCTGAAGCCTTTACTGTCTCTGGAGGATCTCGTCAGGTTCTCCACCCTCGAAGGAAGCGGTAGCGAGTCCCTCAGGGCGTTGCTGCAACGGGGACAGGCGACGGGCGCCGAGTGGCCGGATCTCGAACACGCGAACATCGACCCCTACATACAAAAGATGCTCGCGGCAGCTGCGCCGTTCAAAGGTGAGAAAGTTCTTGTCCCGTTTGAATTTCGGGTACACGTGGACCCGACAGGAAATACCGATTTTCGTTGAAAGAAACCAAATTCCGAGCGACAAAACATTTTTACATCGTGTTTTGAGAACTCAATAGATTCTGTGGAAAAAGTGAATCGGATTGATAAGTTAGATTTGAGAAAAAGAGTTATGTCTAGGAAACTGTTAAACTTTATTCGAATAGAGCACTTGCACGAGATGTGATCGCTTTGACAAAAGATTTTGCGAGAGAGAGCGGTTAGTGTTGACAACGAAGGTCGGTAATTGTCAGTTAATTTGAAAACGGCGTCTGAGTGCTCTAGCATCCGCATAATCACAACATAAACGAAGTAAACGTTACATGATTACCGTTCCGAATTTGTATACGAGTATGATAAACAGAGTTTGGAATAGAGAAAAATAAACCGATTGCTGTAACACAGCAAGTTACCATTTACCCTGAGAAAACGTCACGTCGGACTCCCGTCCGACCGCGCGTACAGCCGGCTCAAAAAGGGATTTGGGTTAGACCGCTTCATTCGCTGACCGGGCAAACCGGTCTACGGCCGAGACGAGAGTCGAAAAGTGTATTACGATCTGAGTAGGTCTTCGCGAATCGATAGAAGCCAGGCCCTGGTCGACGGGTCGGCGACACTTTTTCCACCTTCTGAGCTGAACTTCGTTTAAGTGGCTTAGAACAGTTCCCGGGGGCTGATCCGCGATTAAGACAAACGCCGTGAGGCGCGAAGAACCCGACGGAATCGTATTTCTCGACGAATGATCAATCGGCGACTTGACGATTCGTGATCGGCTACCGTTTCAGGCATAGACGTGATGCGAAAGCTGATGAGCGAGGACAAGAGGCTGAACAAGAGCGTGAACGGGGACCAGACGCAGCCGCACCAACAACTTCATCACCACCTCGCGTCCCAGGCGCAGTCGCAGACCCAGCAGCAACAGCAGCAGCAACAACAGCAACGGGGCCCGATAACGAACGACGACTTCAACCCGAACATCGAGGAGGAGGCGAGCGACAGCGCTCAGGGGAGAGCGATCCTCAAGATTCCGTCCTACAAGCCCGCGAGCACGCCCGGATGTTCGAGCAAGAACGGCGACCCCGGCGCGTCGGCCGCGTTCGCGCAAGGTTTCGCGGCCGCGGCTTCGAGTCCCGGCCTCCTGGAACGAGTCAGTCCAGCGTTCTCCGGTACCAGCAGTCCGACGAACTCGCTCGGGAAGACGGTGGTCAACTTCCGGGACGTGATAGCGAAGAGCATCAGCGTCAAGTTCCAAGAGGGCCAGACGGCCGGGATGCCGGGTTGTCAGCCGGCAGGGGTGGTGCAGTCGCAGCAGACGATGCTGACGGATCCGAGCCCGTTCAAGAGGGGAAGGTACACGCCGCCTCAGCCAGCCACCGCGCAACAGTCCCAGACGCAGGCGAAGTCGCAGTCGCAACAGCAGGAGGCGAACAAATCGAAACCGGCGACCGGCGGCAAGGGCACGAGACCGAAGCGCGGCAAGTACAGGAATTACGACAGGGACAGTTTGGTGGAGGCCGTACGAGCGGTTCAACGGGGCGAGATGAGCGTGCACAGAGCTGGCAGCTACTACGGAGTGCCGCACTCCACCCTCGAGTACAAAGTTAAGGAGCGGCATCTGATGAGGCCGAGGAAGAGGTACGTGTAGAAACGTCGACGTCGAGAGGATACTCTTCGTCTCGACGCGCGTTTCGTACGAAGAACTGGAATGAGAAATTATTAGAAAAGAATATTTTAACGAATCTTACAGGGACCAGAAGCAGGCGGACGACAAGGCGAAGGACACGACGAGCGCCTCGACGGCCGCGGCAGCGGTGAACATACGACCGGGCACCGCGGCGGACAAGAAGCCGCAGATGAAACCTCAGAAGCCGTTCACGCCGCCGGGAGGCATACCGGGACCGAACGGGATGAAGATGCCACCGTTCATGGAGGGCATGCCCTTACCGTTCACCCCGTTCAATTTCTGGAGTCCGCCGCCGCCGTTCATGCCGTCACCGTTCATGGCGGGCACCGCGAACGTGCCGGCGATCTTACCGGAACAGTACTTCGCCAGCAGCCGGATTCGCGGGCTGCAGGAACAGCAGAGGAACGCGGCGATGGTTCAGCAACACCAGCAGAGAGACCGGGACGGTGTGGCGGCCTCGGAATCGGCCGGCAGTTCGAACTCGCGCGGCACGCCGCTGAGCAAGACGTCGCGGGAGGACAGCTTGTACGACGGCTCGGGGGCGAACGGTAGCTTCCTGGACAATTTGATCAGGTCGAGCCTCGAGTCGGGTATACCAAGGGACCAGAGGGTGATGACAGACGCGAGGAACCAGCAGTCGTCCTCTTCGTCCTCGCAGCAGCTACCGGAGATGAGGAGCAAGGCGTTGATCGATCAGTTGTGCCGAAATTCGAGGAGGACGCCGATTCCGAGGTTGGCGCAGGACAGCAGCGAGGACGAGAGCTACAGAGGGCCGTCGGCGAGCGGGAGGTCGCTCCCGGAGAGACCGGAACGGGTGCCCACCGTAGATCTCAGCCCGTCGCCGTCGGATCGCGGCCGCAACGACGACGGCAGCGATCGTCTCACGTCGCCCCCGACGCCGCTCTCGGTGTCCCGTGCCGGGAGCAGGGACGAGGACAGCACCCGGGACAGTGGTAGGGTGGATCGGAGCAGCAGGGAACGGGAGATTCACAACGGTGGACAGGAGGATCGCGACAGAAAGACTCTGACCGTTCAGCAGCAGCCGCAGCAACAGTCGCAGCAGTTGAATCACTACCCGGACTTACACAATCTCTACGCCGTATCAACTGACAAAAAAAGTGCCTGTGATAGTAAGCTTATAGTAGATCATTCAAGCCAGAAGACTCAGCAACAGCAGCAGCAGCAGCAGCAACAGCCACAGCAGCAACAGAAGGAGTACGGTGCGGTCAGCGGACTGGTCGTTCAACGGGGCTACGGTACCGGTAGCAACAGGTCCGCGAACGAGCCGACGAACAACAACAACAACAGCAACAACAACAACAACAACAACAACAACAACAACAACAACAACAACAACAACAACAACAACGGCAGCGGCCAGCAGTCGACGGAGCAACGCGGGCCCATGATCGCTATGGAAGACTCCGTCGAGCAGTAGGGAAAAAAGTCGGTATCGTTGAGATTTCATTAATAGTGTGTGAAATAACGATCCGTGTAACGAGCCACGGCAAGCTCGCAGCTCCCGGCTCCGGTATTTACCGCGACGCGACGCGCGCCGCGTTTTGCCAACGGTTTGTCGGGGATGCTCGGTGCGCATCGCGCCACCTTTTCTCATTCCCGGTTCGGTTCACTACGCGACGCGCTCGATGAATCGTCTTTCACGCCGACCGACAAAGAACCGGAAGAGCCGCGCACGACACCGCTATGAAAGCGAACGCCGGCGAACGAGCATATTTTTTTTTTTTTTTTTTTTAAAGAGAGAAGGGCCGTGCGACGGCCGAGCACACCTCCTACGTCGCGTTGCGTGAGCGCGTGTCGTTTAGGACGAGGGACGGACGCGAAACGAAAACGCGCTTGGCCACGGAACGGTAGAACGGCCCACGAGCGCGTGACCCTGCCCTTTTCTCCATCCGGAAGCCCCTTTTGAACGTCGCCAGGGCAAGTTCCGATATACCTGTAACGATAATAACGCGACGGGAAACAAAGAGACGGAAAAGAAACGGAAAGAAAAGAAAAAGTGAACGCGTGTAAACGCTGTACTTCAACCACCCGTGAACCCACTGCGATTCCATCAGTCTACGTGTATCCGGCACGCGCGCACGATCCTACGTCGCCAGATGACGGTAGGTCGTACCGGAACCACACACTCTCTTTCCGACTATGGCGAACGTTTTCGATTTTTCTCGAGGAGAACGCATCGACTCAATGCTGTAATATAGTACAGGACACGATGCAACGTTATTGCACCGGAATGCATACACACGCAATATGTATCAGACACACATACGTACACACACATGTGACCATAATACAGAGACACGCAGGCAGACGTACGATTCTTTCGGTGACACACATTTCGCTTTCAGGATGTAACAATGAACCCGGGACTCCTCGGTGGTGAACCGTGGATCCGCGCACGCGGTCCATGGCGATCTACCAGCGGCGTTCCGGTGAATCGGTATACATGAAACGGGGAACAGATACAGAGCAGCACGTGGAAAGAGTCCGCGCGTGCACGCGTCCGTTAGGAAAAACGATTAATTTAAATAATTAAACGAGAGCGTTGGGTAAGGAGCGCTTGACGAACGCGTATCCTCGCACCGGCGCGGGGTACGGTTCTTCTTGGGAAGCGCGCGGTAGATGGACACGAATAGAACGAGAAACAAGAGAATAATTAAATAATTGCCGACGCGAAACAACGTATTTTTTCCTCTATCGATGTAAAACTACCTAATGAAAAGAAGAATGCAAACTTATTACATACTACTAACATTACTTAACTCGTAAGGAGCAACATAATTATATAAGGAATGATATATTATATATATACATATATTTTTGGTCATTACGAACGTACATTATGCGAAACGAGAATCGAGCCAAGACTTTTGTTGGCGCGCGTAATTAAAGGTGACGTTTTTTCATAAGGCGACAATATTTCTCTGATATCTCTCTCGGTTATTTCGAGGCTGGCGTTCGGTAGAAACGCGTTCCCATCCCTCTCGAACGGGTTTGTATTCAACATTTGACACGGGATGATCGAAGGAAGGTTGGCGGGTACGTTTCGTTGAAAGAATCAGCATCGAGCTTCGTCGATGAAAACGTGAACGAGTCGAAACGTCTCATCTTGTTACTTTAAATCCGGCACAAATCGTTTGCGGTTAGGAAAATCAAAATTTGCTACAGCGTGGGAGTTCACGGTCTTCTCAAATACTCTTTCTTTGATATTATACATTAGATTTGAAACGGTGTGAATGGATCGCGTTCGACGAAGCTCGACGGAACTAAAGGGGAACCTGTGAGGAATAGCGTAAGAAATTTCGAGGAAAGGGATAAACGACTATTAAAACTATTAGGCGCGCGCGCGCTCTCCCTCGACTTTCGGGGGTTTGTCCTTTTTACCGAAAAGCGAAAACAAATTTGTTCTTCGACGCGCGACAACGGTGTAACAATTTTGATACGAATCGCGAATTTTCTACCGCGTAGAGGAAAACTATTTAAAAGAAAAAAAAAAAATAAACGAAGAACGGCGGCGTTCGTAGAGAAAAATTTCTTCGGTAGGAAAACATCCGAATAAATCCTGTAGGAATCCGGTTTCTCTTCTTTCGTTGGCAAAATCAGGGGAAAGACACGGAACGCGGCGTTCTCGAATATCTGAGTCGCGCATTTGTTTCTCTTCTTGTCCGAACTTTTTCCACATACGATTCTCTAAATCTGAAACGGTGTTTTCCTTTCGGCGAAACACGTAGCGAGATTAGATACGACGGACGGGGGAAAACGTGAGAAGTTGGCCGCCATCGTTCTTAAATTTAGAAATTCTCGATCGAACAGAGGGGGGAAAGAAAAAGAGGTTCACTGGTACTTTTATTCAGGGATTAAAACGAATTTTTAAAGCTTTTATCGATCGTTTCGACGACGACGTTAGCGTGTTTCGAGGGAAAACTGAAAAAGGGTTGTTTCTGATTTGCATCGATCGTTGAGTAAATAGGTATCGTAGGAGTGAAGTATACAATGAACGCCAGTCCCTCCTCTTTTGACTAATTTTCGTCGACAGGTTGTCCATTGAGCGTCGTACGCGCGACTGTCGAGGTATCTTCTCGTGTTTCCGATTAGAATTCCGTTCGCGAATAGGAGATCCTTGACCGTGAGGTACACGGTGAACGATAGTCGAACGAGAAGGATACGAGTAAATAGCGATTTCGTCGTTTCGCTAGTCGTAGTAGCCGAGGAAAGGACGTTGGACCAAAAGACGAAATCGACGGGAAAGGCAGGATTGATATTCGTTTAGCCAAAACACGCGTAGGAAGGAAACTGATGAACGAACGGGCACGCGCGAGGAGAACAGTGGCGGGACCAGTTTCCGTCTTTCTCGCGTGACCGAGGAGGATTCATACGGTTCTGAATTCTAAAATCAGAAATCAAGCTAAAATAAAATAAAATAGACGAGGACAGAGGAAACGAAAGGATAAAATTCACGCACTCATCTCACGACTCTCTTCTAAGTAAAGTAACGACTGAGAGACTCTAGGCTGTACATAAAGTATAAGGCATGTATGTTCGGTGTTTAAAAAAAATGCAAAAATTCCTTATTATCGCAAAAAAAAATTATACCTTACGAAAAAAAAGTAAATCGTATAAACAAGGCTACTCTCTCGGTGTTTTTTGGAAACTAAACTTAAACTAACAAAAAATTTATCCCCTCACCCCTAAACTTAAATAAAGCAAAAAAACCGTGGATTATTAAGGAGTGTAACTCGATGAAAAAAAAAAAAAAATGGGATGGAGAAACGAATGGGTGAATTGCGCACCCACGCAGAGAAGCGCGTCGGAAAAAAAACTATAAAACAAGTTATTGAGTGTAAACGTTAAGGTCTCCTTAGGGTTAAAGAAGAATTTAAAGAAAAAAAAAATAAAACACACACACACACTATGACGCTGAAACAGCAGATGAACACGAGCAAAGCACTAATCATGATTGTGTGTAAACGTAAATTTAAACCTTCCTTCTACCCTTTGTCCACTAAACGAGAAAAATGTCACCCCCTTTTTAATCGCTCACCGGCCGACCACCCGCTTCGCGTCAAACTAGAAAAAAAAAAAATCGTTCGGTGTGATCTTTAACTACTCGATACCTCGAAAGATCTAAAGAAAAGATACCTTTTTCTAAACGTTCACCCAGGCACTACACGAAGAATTTAAAGAAACAAAGCGAGAGAAGGACCTCTCTTATTCCTTGCCCCGACCCCTGAATCTTCTATCCTCCTCTCCTCGTTCCCTCTCCTCCTCCTCCTCCTTCCTAATTCTATTCGTACCCCGTATTTAATCGCGCCCTCACCTTCCTCTCTACCCAGCAAGAAGAAAAAAAAAAAAACGAATCCAGCTCACCGACACGCCCGGGATCAAACACACTCCCGATATTAATAGCCCCTTTCCGGAAGATTTATCGTTAGATGTGAACAAATGAATATTTATCGTACGGATGAATTGTAAAACGTGCGTACATTATGATTGTCGTTAATTCAATTTTACGATTAACAAAGGTATACGTCGCGATGTTCTGCAACGCGTTCTCTGAATCGAAAGTGGTGGCCGACCTCCCTCGTCGTCGAGATCTCGATTCGAACGTTTCGTTTGAAATCGAGATCCCAATACGATTTAATAAACTCGTGGAACATAAAAAATTAACGATGAAAGATACGTTTTCAGTTTGTCGATTCGACGATTAAACAGCTTTAGTACGTTCTAATTGGAGCTTCTCTTTCGAGTGAAAACGTTGTACACGCGTCGCGTTCGAAATATGGATCTTCTCGCGGAGTCTCGAATTTCTAGCTGAACGACGACGGAGTCTCGGCTGGCGCGCAAATTAGATAACGCGAAAGCTACGAGGTGCTCGCACAGAACGGGACGATTGGTTCGCGACAATTGGGACGATCGGCGCTAACGGCGTAATTAACGAGGCTGCCGTGTAATGATTTCCCAGTGACACAGTCGCGTCAACGTGTCTGCCGCAGCGATTTCGATTTAACGAGTTACCTACCCCCGTTTTCCGGGACATACGCACACACGCGTGTTCCTCGGCAACGAACAATTCCCGCGAGCTTCTTTTGTCTCGCGTCCAAAGACGAAGAATTGAAACGCGTCCTCCCCGATGAGATTGATCATCCATCGACCGGGGGACGAGCGGTTCGGATTAGGTTAGACGATTGGGCAACGTTCTGTGATTTTAAACATTATCTGAGAAAGGAAACTGTCCATTGGTTACGACTAATTCTAGGAAAAATTCGTGCTGTCTAAATTTCTTTCTCTCGCGTCACGAGGAAAGTATCGGCGAACAGTTTTCGAAGAAAATTCAGAGCTTTATACGTGACGGGATTAGTAAATTGTTGTATTAATTAAGACGAAAAAAAATGTAGATTTCATTTGTTGTGAACCACGGAAAGGTAGGAAAGAGCATCGATACTTTCTCGGTGGCCCGATAAGAGAATCGTATGTAGGAGATTCGAGGAATATTTAGGTGGAATTACGAAGTCGCACGG